AAAAAGAAGTCAAACACGAAAAACGAAAAGCATTGATCTGTTCGTACGCATCCTCTTTTGCGACACTCTATGGATCGCGATCGTATCAAGGCAGTCCTTCGTCATTTCAGAAATCCTCGATTTGATCGTTGCTGTATGAGAGAGATTTATCAATTGTCCGCTGGAATAAATTTTATCCAAGAATCGTTATTGATTCTTTCAATCCGGCATATATATATATGATTAACAATCTCTGAAAAATTCACAAAAATATTTCCAAGTTATTGCAATTTAAGACGTATATCATAACGATTCGATAAACCAGTTGAATTGTATATAAAATCTGTTTCTCTAGCGATTCTTTTGAAGGTGTTGAAAGGATTAATGACGATTTCGAGATCCTCGGCGGATGGAACGGAAAGTAATAGTTAGAGTATGTTGTTGTCTTCGTTCAACTTTGCATCGTTTAAATTTTATCGTATATATTATATGTAAAGAGGCGGGAAGTCTCTTTTTCTCAGCGAATATATTCATGATCGCTACGAAGTTTCGCTTAGATCCCACGTTTATCAGAGGCGAGATTAAAATTGTGCAATATCGCAAGGAAACATATATTTCGAATGGTATATATCATACTGTAATTCGTTCGCGTAAACGTCATTATTATTATGACTAAGGGAATGCCTGCCTTACTTCTCGACGTGTAAATATACATATGATATTAAGTTTTTCTCGTCATTATCAATCGGATTAATTTAATAATAGTGAACATAATCGCGCGATTCTTTTGACACATTTGCATTTCTCCTTGTTATTATCGCGTGTAAAGGAAAAGACGAATGCATCGAACGAGATGCACTATCGAAGATTTTACCGCAAGTATCGTCCACTTTTTACGACATCGTGCCAAATATGAAAAGCGTGATAAAAATCGCGAAAAGCAAATTTTTCAGAACATCGACACAGAACATCGTCACTTTTTGAACACGGTTTGAACTCCCCTTAACCCAGAGAAAAGTGTCACGTATAATTTCGATTTGAAACGAATAGCCAATTCATTAATGATAAACGTAGCTTCAAATCGAGCTGCGATCACGAAACAACATTACAAAAGGCTGATCTCTTTCTAGTGGAAAAAAAGGGCAATTGTGTGACGATGGTGCCAATGCTAATGTATATCAAGAGACTTACATCATTACTTCGTATAGCGATATAAAAGCGTACCGGAAAAAGAAAGAAATGACGACCGAAATTACGCGACCTGTCGCGACGATTAATCGAGCAATCGACGATGCTTCGGTAATTATAATTTACTAGACAATTAACGGGGAGATGGGAATCGTCATGGGAGAACGAAGGATAAAAGGCGCGATTTCCTACACTAGTTTACTAGAAGTCGATATTCATTTTTATCGATGACAATGCAATTTTTATCGACGACGAAGCAGGACGGAAAGTAAATCGAACCAAAGGAGGACGCATCGCAGTGCCAATAATAAAATGCCACGGATATTTCTACACTTGAGGAGGAGTACACTCGAATTTCCTGTCGGGAATCCACGATTAAACGCTACGACGAGATTTACGTTTCGTACACGTGATCATGATCTTTACAACTTATTGATTTTGATTAACCGAATTTGTTTGTACGCATAGACGAGAGCATCGAGTTATTATTCAATCGAATCGTAACCCCCATTACATCCCCATTGTCAAGCTTGCGACCAATATTGATTCCTCATTTACGTTTGTACATAGCACTAACTAAAGGGATATATACATATAGAAAGGATTTTAGGGGTAAGAGAGGAACTCTTCGCTAGTGGGAGGAGATGATTAAAAGAATCGATCAAAATTCGAAAGTAGGCGGCTTTATCGGAGTTCATTCCGTTATACATCCTCGATAGTTCCTTTTTTCTATCTCTATTATGAGAACGATTATTGCGACTTCATTATACAGGCTGTATAATAAAGTATCTCAAATCCGACGCTTTGATATAGATATACAGCTTGTATAGATATATTTATATATCCCATTCTGCTCTAGAACTATATAAGGATCAAGCGAGGATACCTCGGTCGGAAAGAAATACTTGATTTTATTATGTCAAAGATACAGCGTGTTCATGAGAGATCTATATTTTCATAGAAAAAAATTTCTTTTCGGTATATAAAGAAAATTTCTGCCAGATTTATTAAAAAGAGAGAAACAAACGCTCTCAAGAGTCTATGTTTATATGCGATATCTCGAGAATTTGTGAATCCCAGAAGATGCCAAGAATATTTTGAAACTTGAATATTCCTTTAACCAATTACCATTAAATTTTAAGTCGACTCATCCGCCATAGAAATCAAATAATTAGCTGATAAAAATAGATAAAGAAGCTCTATGAATATCCTGTATCGCTCCGACCGATTTACGAGAAAGCTGTTGTTCGATGCATAATTAATCAAGGCAAAAAAGTTAATTCGAAAAGGAAGAAAAAAAGACAACAAATGATCTGATTGATCAGACGAACAACCAGTGCATAGAGTTACTTTTTAATGATATCGTTTCAGCGTCTATTTATCGGTGCTACCAGAATGTGCTACCATTGTTTTCGCATCTGTGTATATGTCTCGATTTTTCAAATAAAATGTTAATTTTATTACACGGCCCTTGCTCATACGATGAATTTAAACCCCCTTTCGTTGACAACGGAAAAAAATTTCAGATGGAGGACTTACGAAATTTTTTGATTTATTTGGCTTTGTACAGATTTGCTACAAAATTTATTATTATTAATAATAATACCATCGTATATTTGTAACGGTGTGGGTAAATAACGTTCTTGCAATCTGGATGGATCCGGAGACCAGTTCGAGCCTCAGACCATTCTTCGATTCGTAGACTTCTCTCCTCATCTTTCGGATCATATCGCCCCATCCCGACGACCCGTTTCCCGTGTGTGTGTGTGTGTGTGTGTGTGTGTGTGTGTGTGTGTGTATATATATATTTATTTATTTATATATATATATCTATATCACGAGCATACACTTCGTTTTACATAAGCTTTGGAATACCCGTGGACATTAGGTACACAACGGTTTTACAATAATTTAGTTTTACGGAAAACCCCTTACGGAAAGCGCGGCTGAGACGAGTGACAATTATATTTATTTCATACAAACTCGCACGATATCGAGAAGCTTACATCCAAAAGAGAATCCCATTTCACCTCCTTTTCTTCTCCTCTTCCTCTCCCCTTTCTCTCCTCTTTAGAAAAAAATCTTCGATAAATACTGTGTCGTAAATTGGCGAAATAGTTAAGAATATCTTTTATATCTAATGTCCTTACGTCTAGTTTCGATCTGCACTGCACGCTATTTGTCTGTGTACCAGATGCGCCGATATTTTTGCGAAATCACTAAAGTGCTCGGAAGATTTTCGTGATACGTATGATCTAAAAGTATTTTTTTTTAAATCTAAGGGAAACACAATCTTTTTAAAGTTATTGACGCATCCCCTATACGAAATATGGATTATTCAAACAAAATAGTAGACATCTCCGACATGAAGTACAAGTTTCATCTAAGAAGCTAAACAAAATCACCATCTACTGTTGACACGGATGTAAGATAAACATAATTCATCAAATGAAATGCTTTGCTCTTATGATAAAATTAGTCACTGCACAGGAATAACATTAAATTGCCTAAATTAATCGATTTAATTGCTGTACAGGAAATTATTCGATTTTGTTTAAAACTGCTTATTCTTTGTCCAGTTTCAAATAAATTAAAAACTCAAACTTTCGGCACTTTATTTTTTTATCTCAATGAGCCTCGTATATTGATTATTATTGTTATACTGCAATTAGAGCTTTCAGCTTCTCAGTAGAGTATTCTCAGACTCATGTAAATGTACACACGTCGTTGCCGATGAATCGAACATCGTTTTGCTTTTTCGTAAAACACTTTATATTCTTGTGTTTAGTTAGCTCGAATCAATCGAACATTGTTAATAGAAATAGATTTAAGTCAACTTTGAAATGAAGAAATACAGTATATAAAATATAAAGTTGACCTGGATTTTCCGAGGACATTTTTAAAATCGATGATTATTTTCTGACGACACTTTAAATATGTCTAGCTTTCTTTTAGGCAAACTGA